GAATTTTAAATTTGATTGTTATTTTCTTATATTGTAATGAACGCTTATTTCTGAAATAAAATGTGGTGTTCTGTTTTTGATTTGATTGAGGGGGAGTTTTCTTTAAGTTATGCATATTTTGAGGGGGAGCTCTTATGTTTGTCATAGAAGAATTATTTTTTTATTCTAATCAAAATAGGGGGAGAAAATATTTAAAGCCTGATATTATTGTTTTTAAATATTATCTGGTATGTTTAATGTGTTTGTTAGTATGACAGAAAAACAGGTTATTACAAGGCTTTAAAAGATAATTTTGATCATCATCAAAAAGGGGGAGATTGTTGAACATTCAAGGACTTGATGTTAGACTTAATGGACATGAAGCTTGTTGGTTTTGATGATGATTCAAGAACTCAAGAACGTAGAGAATTGAAGACTTGTTTTTTAGTGTAATAACTCTGTTTTGATTAGATTGAGTCTGTAATATTAGAGTTTGAGATAGCGGGTACATAGTCTGCACCTTAGAAGCTTCAAAAAGCTCAAATTTATCAAAGAGGCTCGGATTTAATCGATTAATTGGTGAAATAATCGATTAAAACAGTGAGAAAAACCATTTTTTGTATCTGCTCACTGGTTTAATCGATTAACACCCCTGTTAATCGATTAACAGGTCTGTTAATAGATTAACAGGTCATTTAATCGATTAAAACAGAGAGTTTTGGGGTTCTGTTGATTTTGGCTCTGTAATAATCCATTAACACTTCATTTAATTGATTATTTCAGTCATATTTTGATTTTTAACTTCAAATCAACCCTATTTTCGAAAACCCTATTTCCAAGAACCCTAGTTTCGAAAATCCCAATTCCCAAACCCTAATTGCTCTACTTAAGCATCTCTATGGCACTCAGAAAAGGTGAACAACCTTTTTCATACAAAAGTTAAGTGTTGTGAGTGCCAGAGAACTGTTTGTTGCAAGAAAAAGGGGCTTTTGGAACCTGGTGTGGGCTAGAAGTGATAAGAATCACTAAGTGGAGTTCTTAGTGGATTGTGTGTTGTGCCGTCTCTAGGGAAAGTTGTTCTTCATCTCTTGTGGATTTCAAGAGAGGTGTTTTCTTTACTTTATCTTTTCCATTGTAATTTTTTTGTAACAAACTTGATTATAGTGACAGCGTTAATCCTCTGTTTGAGTGATTAGCAACTGGACGTAGGGTCTTTTGATCCGAACCAGTATAAATTTCCTGTGTAAGATTCTATCTCTTCTCTATTTACGTTTACACAGATTTTTCATCGGTAAAATTTGGGGAAAATTTTGAAAACCTAATTTTTGTTAAGAAACAAATTCACCTCCCCTCTTGGTTTTTGTCCGACCACGCGAACATTCTGCTACGCGATTCTAACATTGTTGAGACTGATGCTCAAATATAAACCTAGTAGCTCACTGACCATTGATATACGGTAAGAGAACAGTCAGGTACAGGAGAGTTTGTACAGTGGGATCCCCGACAACAGGTAGCGAGCCTGGGTCTTTTGGGGCCTCCAACCACTACCCTTCCTATCCTCAAGTCCTCCCTCTGGGCCTCCCTATCGTATTCTCAGAGTCCATAATCTCTGATTCCCCAGATTTCACAAATCACCATTTTTAGATGAGTAATGTATGAGTCCCTAAGTATTTTTTCTTAGAAATTCACATTTTTTCAAAAATTTTGACAGAGTTTCCCATGTAATACGAACTTCCCAAAAATTTTCATTCACCTATTACAAGCAGAAAATTTCCAATACAGTTCAAGAAGGGTTCACAACCCATCATCCAATTCTTTCAATTTAATTTTCAATGAATTTTCTCATGAAAAACCACCATGCATATAAATGCTCACTCAAAGACAATACATATCACAATAGAGTACCAAACATGTATTTTACACCATCATACACGTAAGCAATTCATGATCACTTTCACAACCAAGCATATAATGAAATCAACATTATCAATCATAACAAATTTAGACAAATTCAACAAATAAGATCAAACAAGTTTATGATATAATCCTTACTATATAGTTCACCCCTTACCTGATATGTTCGCACTTATTCCTTTCAAAGCTTGATGTTGTGTTTTAGCAAAATCTATATACGTAATAAAATGCTAGTTAGAATCTTATATTTCTATGCTTCTATCTCATGAGAATTTAAATTCACTTTGTATTGCTAATCCATTTTTAATAATATTTTAAGCTCACATTCAGCTTACAATTAACTTAGAAAATTATCTTTTTTTTGTATACACTTAGTGTAGGAAAATCCTAATAGCAAACATGAACAAGGTTTAGTATTTCTAAATTTTCTAGAGTTATATAAGTTGCTTTGGCACGAGATTTGAGCCAAAATTTCAATAACTTAATTACCTACAATATTGATGAAGGAAATAAATTCAAATACCCTATAGAATAAATGCAGTTTTCAGTTTTCAGTGGTTATTTCCAACTGGGCTCAATTACAATAACACTCTGAACATGCCTTGGTAATTTGACTATAACTCATGCTACACATAAGCTATTGACATGAAATAATTTTCCAAATTTAAGGGATATACTTTCCTACAACCTTTACGAAGAAATCAAGTCCTAATTTCACACGTATCAATCTCAGTAATTCAAAAACCTAGGCTGTTGAAACAGGGCTACCTCTTAACGTCATAACTAGAACAATTGACAGTAAAATGGGCATAACTTGAGCTAAAAATATCCGTTTCATGAGAAACTAGTTTCTAAATTTCGACAACTTAAAGAGCTACAACTTTCATGAAGATACCAATTCCTAATTCTGTTCACACAAGTCCCAAAAATTCAATGAATAGTGCCTACGAATTAGGGCTCTTAAAGTTTTTAGCTTAATCACTTCTAATCCTCAATTTTAAGTATTATTCTAGTATTCTAGGTGTAAAACCTACAGTAACATTCTTTCTACACTCATTCAAGCTCAGTCAAGTGAGGAAAAAAATAGAAAATGCACCGTTTTGAACAATAAAATGGTAGAAATGTAGAGGAGATTGAGAGAAACAAACTTACCTCTTGGAACTCCTTAAGAAAATCAAGATTTTCCCCTCAAAATCAAGCTTGAAGGTAAGGAAAATTTAGAGAGAAAGAGAGAAGCGAGGAAACTACGGTTGCAGAATGACACTCTTTCTTTTTAAAGTCAAATATTTGAGTCTTATTTCACCTAATAATTCGCTCAGCACATTTCTGATGTGCTGCGTCCAGCGGATTACATTACAAAAAAATTATCTTTATTTTCTTCTTTTTACTCTAACCAAGATTTGAACCCACAACCTCTAAGGCTCAAACATCACTCCAAACCATATCAATCATCATAGGTTTCTTGTCAACTTATACACATAATAAACTTTTATTGTACCCACACTCAATGCATACAAGAAAACAAAAATTTCTAAATGTGACAATTAAAATTGTTAAGTCCATACTCTTTCAATTTCAACCCTAAATCATATAATTACTATCAGGTGTCCAGTTGCCCGCGAAACGGATCAATTTTAAGTATTTTCTAAAAATTCTAGAAAATCATAAATAATCTAATAAACATAAAACTCCACAGTTACTTTACCCAATTCCTAATAATTTAATAATTAAAATTTTGACAAAGATTTTGTCAAAATTTAACAAACTAGGGGTATTGAGAATCAAGATGTTACACAGTTATGGAGTCTCCCTCTCTTATTCATGCTCAGTTAGGTCATCTAAGTCTTGCCAAGTTACAGAAACTTCTCCCTGCCTTGTCTAACTTGTCTAGTTTGGCGTGTGAGTCGTGTTAATTAGGAAAACATAGTCATATTTCCTTTTGTCATAGTGTCACACGTGGTGCTTCGTCCCCTTTTGTCATGGTTCACTCTGACATTTGGGGACCTAGCCGCGTTAAGCCTACTTTAGGTTTTCAATACTTTGTTACTTTCATTGATGATTATTCTATATGTACTTGGTTATTTTTGATGAAAAATAGTTCTGAATTATTTCATATCTTTCAAACTTTTTTCAATGAAATTCAAACTAAGTTCGGTGTGTCTATTAGAGTTTTGCGTAGTGATAATGGTTGTGAATATTTTTCTCATTCTTTTAAATAATTCATGGCTTCTCACGGTATCCTGCATCAAACTTGTTGTGCTTATACACCTCAACAAAATGGTGTAGCTGAATGCAAAAATAGATATCTTATTGAAACAACTCGCACTCTTTTAATTCATGGAGAGGTTCCTCAACATTTTTGGGATGATGCTCTTCTTACTGTATGTTATCTCATTAATCGCATGCCTTCTTCGATTTTAGATAATAAAATACCTCATTCCATTTTATTCCCTCTTGAACCTCTTCATTCCTTACCTCTAAGAGTTTTTGAGTCTACATGTTTTGTTCATAATTTAAGTCCTGGTCTTGATAAGCTTTCTCCTAGATCACATAAATGTGTTTTCTTAGGGTTTACAATATCACAAAAATGATACAAATGTTTTTCTCCTTCTCTTAACCGTTATTTTGTGTTTGCAGATGTCACATTTGATGAGTTCTCTCTTTATTTTAAAAGTCAATCTTCACCTCTGTCTCCATCCAATCCTGTCAACACTCCTAGTACATTTAATGTTCCTGTTGTGTGTGACCCTCTAACTATGTCTCCTCCGGATCTGACACCTGAGTCTGACCTTCCATTGCCCTCCGAAAAGGTATCCGTTCTACACGTAATCCCTCTCTCCATTATATTGCTCTGAGTTATCATCGACTATCATTACCTTTTTATACATGTCTTTCCTTTATTTCTTCTGTGACTATTCCAAAAACTGTCCGTGAAGCTTTAGCCCATCCTGGTTGGTGTCAGGCCATGTTAGATGAACTAAGTGCTCTTCATAATAGATGAACTACCATTATTGGTGACAGATTATGTGTAATAATATATAGTTTTTTTCTTATATATATAAATATATATTTTTAATTCGTTATTACTTATTACACATAATTTATTTATGTTACCCTTTTCATATGCAAGAGCTGAGTCTAAACTCCTCAAGGATATTGTTGAAGATGTTTTGCAAAAATTGGCTCCTATGTACCCTAAATGCCACAAAGGATTGGTTGGAATTGAGGAAAATTATGAAAAGATAGAGTCACTGCTAAACGTTGAGTCATATGAAGCTAAAATCTTGGGAATATGGGGCATGGGTGGAGTAGGTAAAAGCACCCTTGCTCGTGCTTTATATGACAAACAATCTCATGAGTTTGCAGGTCATTGCTTCCTTGAAAATGTAAGGGAAGAATCAGACAAGCATGGAGTCAAAGCTTTACGTAATAGACTTTTTTCTGAGTTGTTAGAGGATAAAAATCATTGTTTTGATGCACCCTTTTCAGTAACCCAGTTAGTTATGAGTAAGATAGGACGCAAAAAAGTTTTCATAGTCTTGGATGTGTCGCCGCCGTCCGTTCCGACGTCCTGGGGACGTCTCGAACGTTAATGCGAGCGGTCGCGAAAAGATGGTTGAGACTCGCGTTTTTTGTTAAAATTATGTTCATTGCTTCCGAGGTGTTCAACACTGAACTATCCTCTAAAAGAAGCAAGGTTTTCGAAAAGGGTTCTTTTGGAGTCGCCACCAATGTTTTGACCATAAACATTGGAAAAGGAGAAAAAGGCGTTGATTTTAATAAAAACCAACTTGGCCATTATAACCAGAGTTGGGTAAGGGAGTTAGTTACGTGTGGGGAAGGTGTTAGCACCCCCACAACGCCCCTTTCGGGTTCCCTATGACGGATTTATTCATTAAGTGAAGATTATGAGAAATTACGCATTTACCCTATTTTATTCGTAAAGTTATTTAGATATGGTTATCTACATGATGTATCTACATTGCATACAGAAAACAATAAATAAAGCAGTAAAGAAGAAGAGAATTGAGAAAAACCTCCGTAGCAAGCTTTATATTATGATTCTTGTACAAAGAGGACGCGTTTCGGCAGTCCTTCGCTCTACAATTGTTCTCTCCTCTTGATTACAGACTCGACTCGACTAAATTTTCTAGAAGAATCGAATGCCGGAATACAAATTCCTTAACTGATTGTTACCTAAAAAAGGCAATCAGAAAGATCATTCGAGAGAGGGAGAGAAGAAGACAAGTCTCTGAGTTGTCTGGTGTGTGGAGAATGACAAATGAACCTCCTATTTATATTTTTTTCGCTGCCTGGAACTTTGGGACGGCCGTCTGGGTTGGGACGTCCGTCCCAAATGCGTTTTCTGCATTGTGCCAATCTGGGACGGCTAGTCTGGGTTGGGACGGCCATCCCAAATGCAATTTTACAAAGGCTGAGACCCCCTGACGTTTGGGACGGTCGTCCCACATTTGGGACGCGCGTCCCACTTGCTTAATTTCAGTTGGGATGGCCGTCCCAACCCTGGGACGATGGTCTCGACCTGTTTTGGCCTACTCTTGTGTTTTGGGACCCCCGGGAAGCTTTCCTTGCCGTTTTCGGACATGGATTGGTGCCGATATATGTCCGTTGAAGTTTTATCTTCGTGTAGGAAGTCTTCTTGGCCTTCATTTGAAATGTCGGCGAGCTTTATCTCTGTATAGGAAGTCTCCTTTGTCCTTTATCGTGCAAACGAGCGATCTCTGTGTTGGTTGCGGGAGGTTTCCTCGGTTTTGGGAAGCCGGATGAACTCCATCTTCAGGCGAAAGTTCTTCTAGCTTTTATTTTGAGAGGCCGGGAAAAATTAGGGGTCTACAGGATGATGTAGCTACCTCAGAGCAATTAGAAAATCTAATTGAAGATTTTGATTTCTTGGGACTCAGAAGTAGAGTCATTGTTACAACTAGAAACAAGCAAATATTTAGCCAAGTTGATGAAATATATATGGTCAAGGGATTGAGCTTTCATCACTCTCTTCAACTTTTCAGTTTGACTGTTTTTAGAGAAAAACAACCTAAACATGGATATGAAGATCTATCAATAAGTGCAACTTCCTATTACAAAGGTGATCCTTTGGCTTTAAAAGTTCTTGGTGCAAGTCTTCGTTCAAGAAGTAAGGGAGCATGGGAATGTGAACTGAGAAAACTCCAAAAGTTTTCTAATAAAAAAATTCATAGTGTATTAAAATTAAGTTATGATGGCTTAGATCACTCTCAGAAGGACATATTTCTAGACATTGCATGCTTCTTTAGAGGAAAACAGATAGATCATGCAACAAACATATTGGAAGCTTTTGATTTTTCTGCAACATCTGGAATAGAAGTCCTTCTGGACATAGTTCTAATAACAATTTCAGGTGGCGATCAACTAGAAATGCATGACTTGATACAAGAAATGGGTTGGGAAGTTGTTCATCAAGAATGTATCAAAGACCCTGGAAAACAAAGTGTTGAACATTCAAGGACTTGATGCTGCACTTGATAGACATGAAGATTGTTGATTTTGATGATGATTCAAGAACACAAAGACTTAGAGTGTTGAAGACTTGTTTTGTATTGTAATAACTCTGTTTCAATTAGATTGAGTCTGTAATATTAGAGTTTAAGATAGCCAGTACATAGTTTGCACCTTAGAAGCTTCAAAAAGCTCAAAATTATCATCCATGCTCGTCTTTAATCGATTAAAACAGTGAGAAAAATCATTTTCTGTAACAACTCACTGGTTTTATCGATTAAACCAAATTTTAATCGATTATCAGGCGGTTTAATCGATTAAATCACCTTTTAATCGATTAAAACAGAGAGGTTTGGGTTCTGTTGATATTTGGCTCTGTTTTAATCGATTAGTACTTCTTTTAATCGATTATTTCAGTCAGATTTTGATTTTTAACTTCAAATCAAACCTATTTTCAAAAACCCTTTTCCCAAGAACCCTAATTCCAAAAATCCCAATTCCCAAACCCTAATTTCTCTACTTAAACTCTTCTATGGCACTCAGAAAAGTAGAACAACCTTTTTCATACAAAAGTTAAGTGTTATGAGTGCTAGAGAACTGTTTGTTGCAAGAAAAAGGGGCTTTCTGAACCTGGTGTGGGCTAGAAGCGATAAGAATCACTAAGTGGAGTTCTTAGTGGATTGTGTGTTGTGCTGTCTCTATGGAAAGCTGTTCTTCATCTCTTGTGGATTTCAAGAGAGGTGTTATCTTTACTTTATCTCTTCCATTGTAAATTGTTTGTAATAACTTTGTTTATAGTGACAGCGTTAATCCTCTATTTGAGTGATTAGCAACTGGACGTAGGGTCTTTTGATCCAAACCAGTATAAATTTCCTGTGTAAGACTCTATCCCTTTCTCTATTTACATTTACACAATTTTTAATCGGTAAAATTTGGGGAAAATTTTGAAAACCTAATTTTTATTAAGAAACCAATTCACCTCCCCTCTTGGTTTTTGTCCGACCATGCGAACATTCCGCTGCGCGATTCTAACAAGTGGTATCAGAGCTTGCTTTGATAGTCATTCAAATTTTCGAAAATGGCCGGACAAAATCAAACTTTTGCCGAAGGTGCGTCTATCAACAGACCCCCACTTTTTGCGGGTCAAAATTATCCTTTCTGGAAGGTACGTATGCAAATATTTTTAGAGTCTGTTGATAGAGGCGTTTGGGATGCTATTTTAAACGGTCCATTTGTTCCTAAAATTACTAAGAATGGTATTGACGTTCTTAAACCTTTTTCTAGATGGACCGCAGAAGAAAATAGGAAAGCCCAATTTGACGTTAGGGCTAGAAATATAATTTCATCTGCTCTAACCCTTGACGAGTTTTATAGAATTTTTGTTTGTAAAAGTGCACAGGAAATGTGGGAAATGCTTAGAGTGACCCACGAAGGAACTGACGATGTTAAAAGAGCACGCAAAAATTCAATAATCCAAGAATACGAGATGTTCCGGATGCAACCAGGAGAAACGATCTTTGACGTACAAAAGCGTTTCACTCATATCGTGAACCATCTCACCGGACTAGGTAAAATCTTTGACGTTGATGAATTGAATGTTAAAATTTTGAAATCTTTGGATAGGAAATCGCAACCTAAGGTGATGGCCATCTCGGAGTCACAAAATCTTGCCACTATGTCTATGGCAGCGCTCTTTGGAAAACTTAGAGAACATGAGTTAGAGCTTGGAAGGTTAAACGAAGAAGAAGGCCAATATCAAAAGAAGAATCTAGCCTTCAAAACCGAAATTTCCAAAGGTAAAAATAAAAAGGAAGAAGAAGAAGACTCAGAAAATGAAGAAGAAGAGTTGAGTCTTATGATAAAGAAGTTCATCAAATTCATGAAAGCAAAAGGAAGACATCCCTTCAAAGGTAAAGGAAAGGTAAGAAAAATTCTTCCGTAAATATAAAATGCTATGGTTGTGGTGAAGCAGGACATGTAAAGACCGAATGTCCAAATAAGAAGATCGATGAAGTTAAAGGCAAAAAGCACTTCAAGAAGAAAGCTTACATTTCTTGGGACAACAGTGACTCAAGTTCGGAATCAAGTGACTCAGAAATAGAAGCAAACATTTGCTTAATGGCAAATGACAACATATCATCCGATTTTGAGGTAAGTGATTCTGACACATCTTCTAGTGATGAGGATAATAACTATGATGAATTGCAAAATGCTTATAATGAATTGTTTAGTGATTTTAAGAACTTGAAGAATGAACATAAAGTTGCAAAGAAGAATTTAAGTAGATCCGAAAAGGAAATTGACTCTTTAAAAATGAAAATTACATGTTTAGAAGAAAAAGAGGTATTAGAGACGAAAATTGTATGTTTAGATGAGGATAAGAATTTAGCATGTGAAACTTGTAAAGAGCATGAATATGACATAGATATCCTAAATCATCTACTTGATAAAGCCGAAATGGAAATAAGTGATCTTAAGAAGGATAAAACTGTTTTTGCTCAAAATAATGTAAATCATCAAGTTTCTATGAAAAAGTCTAAAACTAAAAAGAAAAGAGTATGGGTAGAAAAAGGAACTAGAGCATCTATGGTTAGAAATGCATCATTTTCAAATGCCACATCAAAAGCATGTTTTTATTGCATGAAACAAGGACACACGTCAAATAGATGTAAAATTAAACATTTTGGTGTACCTAAAGGTAAATTCATTTGGGTTCCTATAGTTAAATAGATTATTATGTCTCTAACCCCAAGGACCCAAAAGTTGTGGGGACCTAAGTTTACTATATTCTTGTTTTGTAGGAAACTTCCAAATCAAAGAAGTCTATGTGGTATCTTGATAGCGGATGCTCAAAACATATGACCGGAGATAAATCTAAATTTGTGAGTTTCAAAGCTAAGGAACAAGGATATGTAACTTATGGGGACAACAAAAAAGGGAAGATCCTTGGAATTGGAAACATAGGAGGTGAAAACACTTTGGAGATCAAGGATGTGCTACTTGTTGATGGACTTAAGCATAATCTCCTTAGTATAAGTCAATTATGTGACAAAGGCTTCAAGGTAATTTTTGAAAGTAAATTTTGCACCATACACTTGATTGATTCCGAAAATGTAGCATTGAAAGGCATTAGGCATAACAACATATATTTGATTGATTTGGATTGTTTACATGAGTCTAGCATAACATGTTTAGTTGCTAAGGAAGAGAACCCTTGGTTATGGCATAAGAGAGTGGCTCATATAAATATGCATCATTTGAATAAATTGATATCAAAAGACTTAGTTATTGGTTTGCCTAAGTTAAAATTTGAAAAAGATAGATTGTGTGATGCATGCCAAAAGGGTAAACAAGTAAAATCATCATTTAAATCAAAGAATGTTATTTCCACTTCAAAACCCCTAGAATTATTACATTTAGATTTATTTGGACCTTCTAGGATAAAAAGCTTTGGTGGAAATTATTATGGACTTGTGATTGTTGATGATTACTCTAGGTATACATGGACATTTTTCCTTACTACGAAAAGTGAAGCTTTTAAGGTCTTTAGAAAATTTGCAAAACAAATTCAAAATGAGAAAGACTCAAGAATTAAAGTTTTAAGAAGTGACCATGGTGGTGAGTTTCAAAATGAAAAGTTTGAAAATTATTGTGAAGAAAATGGAATTTTACATAACTTTTCTGCTCCTAGGACTCCCCAACAAAATGGTGTAGTTGAAAGGAAAAATAGGTCATTAGAGGAACTTGCTAGAACTATGTTAAATGAATCTAATGTTCCTAAATATTTTTGGGTTGATGCGGTTAGTACTGCATGTTATGTTTTAAATAGAATGCTCATTAGGTCAATAATTAAATCTACTCCATATGAATTGTTTAATGGTAGAAAGCCTAATGTTGCTCATTTGAAAATCTTTGGATGTAAGTGTTTTTTGTTAAATAATGGAAAGGATAACTTAGGAAAATTTGACTCTAAAGCTGATGAGGGCATTTTCTTAGGTTATTCATTAACTAGTAAGGCTTACAGGGTGTTTAATAGGAGAACTTTGAATATAGAAGAATCTATACATGTTACCTTTGATGAGATTGTAGACCTTGGGGGAAATCCTCTTGAGTCAAATAAAGAAATTGCAGGTGATGATGAATATATAAGAGAGGCTCTTGATGAATTATATTTGGAAGAAAATGAGCCTTCTCAAACGCCTGAATTAGCAAAAGAATGCAATCACCTAGAGGACTCTCAATGGACAATATCATAGGTGACATCTCAAAAGGGGTAAGAACTAGAAATATGACTAATTTTTGTATGTCTGTAGCTTTTGTGTCATAGATTGAACCCAAGAATGTTAAGGAAGCACTTAAAGATGACCAATGGTGCATAGCCATGCAAGAAGAACTTAACCAATTTGAAAGGAATCAAGTATGGGAATTAATCCCAAGGGAAGAATCACATCAAGTTATTGGAACCAAATGGGTGTTTAGAAATAAACTTGATGAAGATGGGAACATAACAAAGAATAAAGCTAGACTTGTTGCAAAAGGCTATTGTCAGGAGGAAGGTATAGATTATGATGAAACTTATGCTCCTGTTGCCAGGTTAGAGGCTATACGCCTACTTCTTGCCTATGCATCTTTAATGAAATTTAAACTATATCAAATGGATGTTAAAAGTGCATTTTTGAATGGTTTTATTAAAGAAGAAGTTTATGTGGAGCAACCTCCTGGTTTTGAGAATTTTAGTTTTCCTAATCATGTTTTTAAATTAAAGAAAGCTTTATACGGGTTGAAACAAGCTCCTAGATCTGGTATGAAAGGTTAAGTAGTTTCCTAACATCAAATGATTTTTCTAGAGGAAAAATTGATTCTACACTGTTTATAAAGAAAGTTAAAGAACATATCTTATTAGTCCAGGTCTATGTTGATGATATTATTTTTGGATCAACTGATAATTCGTTATGTGTAGAATTTGCTAAGATAATGCAGGGAGAGTTTGAAATGTCTATGATGGGAGAATTGACATTCTTCCTTGGACTACAAATCAAGCAACTTAAAGATGGCATTTTCATCTCTCAAACCAAATACTACAAAGAGATCCTTAAAAAGTTTGGAATGGACACCTCAAAGGAAGCTAACACACCCATGGGAACTTCATGCTATCTAGACAAGGATGAATCAGGTTTGGAAGTTAATCAAACTATGTATAGAGGTATGATAGGATCACTGTTATACTTAACTGCAAGTAGACCCGATATTATGCATTATGTCTGTGTGTGTGCTAGATTTCAGGCTTGTCCTAAAGAATCTCATCTAATTGCGAGTGAAACATATTTTAAAATACTTAAAAGGAACTACTTGGTTTTGGTTTGTGGTATCCGTCTGATGCTTGTATGAGTTTAATAGGATATTTTGATGCTGATTATGGTGGATGTAAAATTGATAGGAAAAGTACTAGTGGGACATGTCATTTGTTAGGTTCATCCTTAATATCTTGGCATTCTAAGAAATAGGCATGTGTTGCTTTATCTACCACTGAAGCTGAATATATTGCAGCTGGTAGTTGTTGTGCTCAAATTCTGTGGATGAAACAACAGTTAGAAGATTATAGTATCTTTTTAAATGACATTTCGTTGATGTGTGATAATACGAGTGCAATAAATCTTATTAAAAATCCAGTAATGCACTCTAGGACTAAACATATAGAGATAAGACATCACTTTTTGAGAGATCATATCAGCAAAGGAAACTGTAAAATAGAGTATGTAGATACCAAACGTCAATTAGCAGATATTTTTACTAAGCCTCTACCCAAGGATAGATTCTATGATCTTAGAAGAGACTTAGGGATATTAGAAATAGCTTAAATTCTGCTTAATTTGACTATTTTTGGATGGTTGTAAGGTTATAATTCATTTTGTAGGATGTTCATAGGTTATCATGTGTTAAAACACTCAAAACAGGGCATTCCTCTCTGGAATAATCGATTAATTGGAGTTATAATCGATTATTTGCATCCAAAACACTTAAAACGGGGTATTCCTCTCTGGAATAATCAATTCATTTGTCCATTAATCGATTAAAACCAGTAATAATCGATTAACAACCCAAAATAATCGATTAAACGGGTCTGGAAGTGATTTAATCGATTAATTTGAATTTTAATCGATTAAATCCGACCAAGTTTGCTTCCTAGCTGTTGCCAACGGATATTTTGACCATTATTCCCTTTCATATGAACGTTGGAGATGCTTGGTTATAAATAGGGACCTTCATTTCACTTCTACTCACTTCCATCTCTTGAAATCAAGCTATCTTGCCTTATTCTAGCTACCTTGCCCTCTTCTCAATACACTTAGCTTTCTAAATCTTCTTGTTACTCTTCTAATCTTTCAATGGCCTCATCTTCTCGTGCTAAGATCCCTACTAGAAGAAGATCTGCACCCTCATCTCGACCCCGTCCTAATTCTGTAGAAGGATGGATTTCTGATACAGATGGCCAACAAGAATTTCTGACCTACTGGAAAGAACGGGCTATTATTTCTCCCAAGTTTCTTATTGGTGAGCAATTCATCAATAGGGGATTCAATTTTCCCAACCTTCTTGAAATTCAAGGAGTTCTTCCTTTCATCCAAATGCAAGGTACGTATTATCCTGACCTTGTTAGGGTATTCTACACTAGATTCAATTTTAGAGATCAAATTGCTACTTCTAGAGTAAAAGGCGTCACAATTATTCTTGACGATGATATTTGGGAAAACGTCGCTCACTTTCCAATTAGAGAAGATGCTATTAACATTTATGGTGAGTTAGAGATGACTTTGACAGGTTTTTAGCTTACCGTTCTTTTCTGCGAAATCCCTCCATGGAGATTGGGCGTCTCCTTCATGCTGGACCTTTAAAGAAGGAGGAACGCATGATTCTCCATCTAATTGTTTGGATCCTATGTCCTCGAGCTACAAATCATGCCCAATGTTCTTCCATTGATCTTCGTATTATTCATTCCATAATGAATAATGAGCCGTTAGATTGGGGCGTTCTTGTCACAATGACCATGTTAAAAGCAAAACGTCATCCCACATTCAAAATTCCATATGTTTTACTTGTCTCTCGTATTCTTGAATATAAAGGAGTGAATGTTGAAGGTGAACAAGCAGTTAGAACAAATAACTTGAACCGCATGCTGGACAACACATTGATTCAACTCCAAATGGTGCGTGTCAATGATATTTATGTTCACAAAGATGACATTCCTAATCAAGGTGATGCTAATGAAGATTCTGATGAAGATATGCCTCCATCTGCTGAGTTTCCCTCTGACCAAATCCAAAGTGTTGGAACTTCCTCTACTCATCATGAAACCCGACAATCCATGGAAGACATGTTATCTGACATGAATCAGAGGATGCAATCATTCTTCACTCTTTCTGGAGTACGGCATGAGGAGATAATTCGTCGTATATCTGATGTAGATGATAAAGTGTGTCATTTAGAAAATATATTTGATGCACACTTTAATGATGATGATAGTGCAGAATTTTAAATTTTGTTGATTATTTTCTTTTTGTTATTTTCTCTTGTTATTGTAATGAATGATTGTTTCTGCAATAAAATATGATGTTTCTTTAATGCTTTGATTGAGGGGGAGTTATCTCCAACTTATGCATATTTTGAGGGGGAGCTCTTATGTTTGTAATAGTTGCATTATTTTTTATTCTAATCAAAATAGGGGGAGAAAATATTTAAAGCCTAATTTGATTACTTTTAAATATTATCTGGTATGTTTAATGTGTTTGTTAGTATGACAGACAAAACAGGTTATTACAAGGCTTTAAAAGATAATTTTGATCATCATAAAAAAGGGGGAGATTGTTGAACATTCAAGGACTTGATGCTGCACTTGATAGACATGAAGATTGTTGATTTTGATGATGATTCAAGAACACAAAGACTTAGAGTGTTGAAGACTTGTTTTGTATTGTAATAACTCTGTTTCAATTAGATTGAGTCTATAATATTAGAGTTTAAGATAGTCAGTACATAGTCTGTACCTTAGAAGCTTCAAAAAGCTCAAAATTATCATCCAGGCTCGGCTTTAATCGATTAAATAGGGAAATAATCGATTAAAACAGTGAGAAAAATCATTTTCTGTAACAACTCGCTGGTTTAATCGATTAAACCAAATTTTAATCGATTATCAGGCGGTTTAATCGATTAAATAACCTTTTAATTGATTAAAAAAGAGAGGTTTGGGTTCTGTTGATATTTGGCTCTATTTTAATCGATTAATACTTCTTTTAATCGATTATTTCAGTCAGATTTTGATTTTTAACTTCAAATCGAACCTATTTTTGAAAACCCTTTTCCCAAGAACCCTAATTCCGAAAATCCCAATTCCCAAACCCTAATTTCTCTACTTAAACTCTTCTATGGCACTCAGAAAAGTAGAACAACCTTTTTCATACAAAAGTTAAGTGCTGTGAGTGCCAGAGAACTGTTTGTTGCAAGAAAAAGGGGCTTTCTGAACCTGGTGTGGGCTAGAAGCGATAAGAATCACTAAGTGGAGTTCTTAGTGGATTGTGTGTTGTGCTGTCTCTAGGGAAAGTTGTTCTTCATCTCTTGTGGATTTCAAGAGAGGTGTTATCTTTACTTTATCTCTTCCATTGTAAATTGTTTGTAATAACTTTGTTTATAGTGACAGCGTTAATCCTCTGTTTGAGTGATTAGCAACTGGATGTAGGGTCTTTTGATCCGAACCAGTATAAATTTCTTGTGTAAGACTCTATCTCTTTCTCTATTTACATTTACATAGTTTTTAATCAGTAAAATTTGGGGAAAATTTTGAAAACCTAATTTTTATTAAGAAACCAATTCACCCCCTCTCTTGGTTTTTGTCCGACCACGCGAACATTCCGCTGTGCGATTCTAACACAAAGTAGGTTGTGGAAACATGAGGAAGTGTGTGATGTCTTGAAATATAACAAGGTAAATTAAAAGCACTTTTGCTTCTATTGGTGTGTCTTTAAATAATTTAGCTAGTATGATAGTCCTTGCGAATGACTATTCTATTTTTTTTTTTTATGTAGGGAACTGAAGTTGTTGAAGGCATAATTTTAGATTTGTCTAAATTAGTTGAGAATCTATTTTTGAGCTCTGATTCCCTTGCAAAGATGACTAACATGAGATTTCTTAAAATCCATGGTTGGAGCAAGTTTACAGTATTTAATGTGTGCTTTCCTAATGGTCTAGATACACTGTCTCATAAAATGAGGTACCTTTACTGGGATGGATTCTGTCTTGAGTCTTTGCCATCTAACTTTTGTGCTGAACAACTTGTAGAACTTTGCATGCGTTGTAGCAAGCTTAAAAAGCTTTCCTACAGTTTTTTTCTTTTTTTCACTCTGTAAAGTTACAAGAGAAAAAAATTATTAGTTATAGTATGAATCACCACATATTTATGGTCTCAGTCAATCTCTATATGACATATTCAAGTTGTTTAATTTGCCAGAAGAATAATAACACTTGATTACATGTTCCATGAAGATTAAATGCAATCATAATATGGTCCTAGATTCTTAAGTGGTTATCTATTGTCTTGTGTTACCTCAAGTAAAGCTTAACCATATGAGTCAACCCTTGGATGATGTGATTCTATGTATTCTTAAATTTTTCTTCAGTCGAGGCTCATGATTTTGAATTAAAAATTTTGAACAGAACCTTGTGAATTTGAAGACAATTGACCTGTGGGGATCCCGAGACCTGATTGAGATTCCAGACTTATCCAAGACAGAAAAACTTGAAAATGTTTCTCTTTGCTATTGTGAAAGCTTGTGGCAGCTCCAAGTCCATTCAAAATCTCTTCGTGTACTAAAAACTTTATGGTTGCTCATCACTGAGGAAATTTTTAGTTACATCAGATGAACTGACAAAATTGAACCTAGCTTTCACTGCTATATGTTCATTACCATCATCAATTTGGCTCAAAGGGAAGCTTAAATCTCTTTACCTTAAAGGTTGTTGCAATCTCCAGGAGTTAACAGATGAACCAAGAATTTATGGTTCTCAGAAGCACTTCTCAACATTCGCATCTAATGTTGAGAGATTGTCTATGAACATCAAAAACCTTTCAACACTGACAATGCTTTGGTTAGATGATTGCAAGAAGCTTGTGTCTTTGCCGAAGCTTTGGCCATCCCTTGAAAAGTTGAGTGCTAGTAATTGCATTTCTCTAGACTCATATGTCACTCAATGGCTAGTGTTACAACACATGTTACATAGCCGCATACCCTACATACGCAAACACTATCTAAAGTGTTATGATGAAGAGTATTTCTTTCCAGGAGACCATGTGATTGATGAGTGTGGATTTTGCACAACAGAGAGTTCAATAACTATTCCTTATCTTCTGAAAACTGAATTGTATGGTTTCATTTACAGCATCGTTCTATCGAAGGGATCAGTCTTGCAGAGTGATGTTTCATGTTCTGTTTATCAAGATGGCATAAGGGTTGGCTGGCTTCAAAGATTGTTGGACTACGAAAGTTTGATTTCCAATCACGTGTTGTTTATGTATCATGACATCAACGAATTTCATATAATAACTGAACTGCATGGCCATTTCTTCTGCAACATAACATTTATATTTGAGAACAGTGGAGAAAGCATAAAAGAGATTGGCGTCTTTCCAATATATGGCTCAGAATCAGGGTTGAAGCTGGCTGGCTGGCAGCAGAGAAGTTTTTGAGTCGAAATCCATTACTCAAATCTTTGAATATAGAAACTACCCATGTGTTTAAAATCGGGCAGGCAACTCATCAGGTAAAGAGTGTTTTAAAAGTTTGGATGGAATTTAATAAAATAATATTTTTATAATATAAAAAATATATAATAAATTTATTAATAATAATATTTTTTATTATCATAAGTTATAATCAAAATTATAAATATGAAAATATAAAAGATAAATGATTATTAAAATAGAATAAAAATATAATAAAATAATTATTATTTAAATTTGATATAGCTATGATAAAAAAGAAAAAAATTAAAATATATTATATTTTTTATAACAAATTTGATCATAAATATTTTCTTTTACTAAAATCGATGTAATTCAAAAATTTATTTGATTTTATCTATTTTTCTGATTTTCTCTTCAGACTAATTTCTATTATAGGATTGAATCAATCGATCTGATCTTCAAAGAGAAAAATATTTTTGATTGAAGATAGTTATTTATGTTATTATTATTATGTTTTTTTTTTTACTTCATTCTTTTTCTCTGTCTCTAAAACACATTAATATAAATAATTATCTGCTTTTTTTAGTTTTTTTTTTCTTCCTTCATTTTTATCTCTCAAATACAATACAGTAAACACTCCTGATTTTAAGAGTAAAACAATAAAAAAAGAAATATTTATATTAAAACAGTTGTTACAAAAGTGAGTGACTTTATTAATTATAATATTATTAAATATCATAAGGTGACTATTTACTATGTGTTGCACAAACATCTTAAATTTTTAAAGAAAAAATAGTAATAGAATGTGTATTAAAAAGTAATATATATATATATATATATATATATATATATATATATATATATATATATATATATATATATGCAATGGCAATCTACTTTATCAAAAAATATTGGGAAAGTTTGTTTAAATTTCACATAAGTGTTTTTAAATTAAATAATTTTTAAAATTATTACTAGGGAAATAGGATTTTTGTGCCATACACATGATTATGAATATTTAGGAATAATTTTCTATTTAATTTTTGTGCATAAAGAAAACTAAAATCTTTCATTTAGATTAGTTAAAATCTACTTAATAATAATAATAATAATTATTATTATTATTATTATTATTATTATTATTATTGAAAATTTTCATTCTTTTAATTGACTTGTCTATTATTTTCATTACTATACGTTACATTATTTTTTTTCTTGTTATCCTTGTTATTCAAAGGTTACATATTTTAATACATGTTGTTCCCCCCAGATGGATATTATCATTAAGATGCTATTAACACAAAAATTCTTGCATATAAAGTTAACAGCATATTATTTCAATATTTTAATGAAAAAAAAAAACACCTTCGTCAGCCATATAATTATGATGAATAATTTTGATATATTGACGAATATAATTATTTAAAATGGGATAATTTATTATATTTTATTAATATTTTTTTATTTTTTATCTATTTTTATCTTATTATAGTTTTTTTTATTTATATTTCATTTTTTTCTCTTTTGCAATACTTTCCCACAAGTTATTTAAAATAAAAAAATAATTAAGTTTTTGAAAAACAATATTCTTTAAAATAATTTAAAAGATATTTAAAGATTTTGTTTTGATTAATAATATAATTTATTTTAAAACTAAATAAAATACATATTTTATATTTAAATTACAATAAATATTTAAGAGTTATGATTTTTTGGTCGGTTAAACCGATCAGAATCGGATTAGAAATTAGTTTATTATTTTTAAATAACTAAATTTTAATTAAATTAAAACAAAGTTGAAAAAAATTGGTAAAACAAAAAAATTGATTGAATTTTCAGATCGAACCAGTTTTGATAAAAAAAATATTTTAGATTAATTTTTTTTAATATAATTTTTTTATAAAAGATATAATATTTTTTTTTCATCTTAGTTACATCGACTTTATTTTATCATATTTTAATAATTATTTATCTTTTAATCTCTAAACTATTTTATATTTATAACCTTTATGATAATTATGATAATAATTTTTATTATTTTTCATTTTTTATAAAAATATTATTACTAATAATTTTATTATATATTTATTATATTATAAACATATTATTTTATTAAATTCTATTCCTTTTAATAAACCTTTAAATTTCAACTCATGATATTATTTTGGTTCGAATTTAAATATATGAATGCATTTGAGAGAACTTATAACAATGAACCTAATTGTAGACATATTTGTTGATGAAGAGGAAATATATTTGAAAAATCTCTTTTGATGATGTCAAATGATAGATAGATAGTTAGTATAGTTAGTTTATATAAAGTCAAAACAATCTAAACTTTGAAAGTAAAAATAATCAATTACGTTAAAACCAATGCGTTAATAATCGATTAGAGAAAGTGTTAATCAATTTTATAATTTAAATTTGAGTTTTCATAAGACGTGTTAATAATCAATTATGTGGTTACTTAATCGATTATTTGCCAAAAATTTTATTTTAACACAACGCGCTAATAATCGATTATGTAAGCACCTAATCGATTATCCGACTATTTGCAAATTATCACTACACTTAAATAATCGATTAGATAAATATGCTAATCGATTATCTATGACAGCTTACAACCGTTTTCTTTCTATAAAAGGATACAAACTTTCTTCTATCAATATTAACTTTCAAATACAAATTAAAGCAATTATAAATAATGTTTTGGGCATTAAGGAAAGAACGTAATTTTGTAAAAGACTTTGAAGATCAATTTCAAAAAAAGGTTGTTTGGCTATAGGGTACATAATTCTTGTAAATCCAAGGTGAATTTGTTTCATATCTTTCTTTTGTATCTTGTTTTTAAGTTTTGATGTATGTGAGGCTAACTACACTAATGTAACTTGAAAATTATGAGGCAGAACATTTTAAGTATTGTGATCTTGATTAGAGGTTGTTGTAAATCAAGATCATTTGATTAGGTTGTAATCAGCTTTAATGTAAAAAAATCTAAGCTAAGGTTGCTTTGTTAAAACTAGATGTAGATTCAAAAAGAATCGAACCAGTATAAATTTATGAATATTTTCTTCTTCTCTCTATCTTTGTATTCTTGTTTTCTGAAAACTGTGATAATTATTTTGTAATTAATTATTAGAGAAAGTTCTCTAATAATTGATTAGAAATTCAAAAGATTTTTTTGAAAACCCAATTCAACCCCCTCTTGGGGAAGTTCTGTCATTAACATTTTATTAACAATTGGCCTCAAAGTTGGGTTATCAAAAGCTAATTGATTTTGATCTAAAAAGAATGACTAACATTTCTCAAACTTTTGCTGAAGAGGCATCTATAAACATACCTCCTTTGTTTTCTGGTGAAGATTATCCATTTTGGAAAATAAGAATGAAGATTTTTCTTGAATCTATTGATAAAGGTGTTTGGGATGTTGTTGTTAATGGTCCTTTTAAACCAACCAAGGTTAAGGATGATATAACATTTGTCAAAGATTTTAATGAATGGACTCCTAATGAGAATAAAAGAGCTCACTATGATGTTAGAGCTAGGAATATTATTTCTTCTACACTAACACTTGATGAATTCTGTAGAATCTTTATGTGTGAAACAGCCAAAGAAATGTGGATTGTTCTTGAAGTCACCCATGAAGGAACTGAAGAAGTAAAGAGAGCAAGAAAGAATACTCTCATTCAAGAATATGAAATGTTCAGAATGAAGAATGAAGACTGGAGAAAACATGTATGATGTTTAGAAAATATTTACTCATATTGTAAATCATTTGATGGCTCTTGGGAAGAACTTTGACAAAGAAGAACTGAATATCAAGATTCTAAAGATTTTAGGAAGAAGTTGGCAACCTAAGGTAATTGCTATTTCAGAATCAAGAGATCTCACAACGATAAATATGGCTACATTGTTTGGAAAATTAAGGGAACATGAGTTGGAACTAGGAAGACTCAAAGAAGAAGAAGATGAAAGTGATCCTAGCAAAGATCTCAGTGATTTGATGAAGTCAAAGATAAAGTCAAAGGTCAACTCTGCAACAGTCAAACAAGTCACTCAGAAGAATGGAGCTGAAGACTTAGTGTGTCTTAACAGAAAGCTTAGGTAAAACCACTTTACCTTTTCCACCGCATAAAGCTTCTTCACTCAATTTGCAAAATGCCTCAAAAATAGTTTTAAACAAATAAAAAAACAAAAGCATTTTGGCAAAGAATTTTCTTAAACAAGTTATTAACTCGATAAAGGTTTGAAAGAATCAATTTAAAACACTTAGAATGTTTTAAAAAGTGTTTTTACAATATTTTAATCGATACAAACTTCTTTTAATCGATTAAAACTCTTTATGACCGATTAGAATTCGAATGTAATAGGTCAGAATGCAATATAATCGATCAGATCTTAAATATGAGCGATCAGAACTATTTTAATCGATTAAAACACGTTTCAATCGATTAAAATTACTTTGGATGTCAGGATGATCGATCAGAATGAGATTATGACCGATCGAGAGTTGGATATGATCGATCGAATTGAATTATGACCGATCAGATCTATTTCAATCGATTAAAACGTATTTCAATCGATTAAAATAACTTAGAAAATCTTTTCAATCGATTAAAACAAACTTTCAATCGATTAAAATGACTTGAAAATATATGTGCAGTTTTTCAATCGATTGAAACGACTTTATATCGGCTAAAATAACTTGGAAAGTTTTATAAGAAGGTTTTTAAACATATCAATCGATTAATACGCGATTCAATCGATTGTTTTATACTTAGAAAATGTTTGTAAAACGTTTTAACCGATATAAACATGGTTGTATCAACTAAAACATTTTCTCGTTAAAGATCAAGAATGCATTAATGGGTTGAAAGGACTTTTAACAGATTATAACGGCTATTTCAACAGATTAAAACAAACTTTCAACAGATTAATTAATGCAGCAGATTTGAAAATACTCTTTTATAAACAGTAATTGCTTGAAACTTTTAAACAGAGATTGAATATCAGCTTTGACACAATTCAAGCAATCAATACAAGCAACTATTAGCATTTTTCAAGAAAGATACACAAC